ACATGTGTGAATGATCTCACTGATACTCATGGCAGGCCTATGGGGGAGGCCATGTTTGCCTCCCCATTCTATAGCTGTGGAAACTGAGGCCCGGGTCCTGAGTGCCAGCACATAGCTGGCAAGTGGGCAGGGTATGGACAGGGCAGTCTGGCTCCCGAGCCCTCTGACCTTACTGCACAGGGAGATCCTGTCACTGCCCCTTGTCAAGCAGTGGAGCCCAGCCTCTGTTCAGGATTTGTTCCTTTCATAATATATCCCATGGAACAAGCCATTGGTCCCCCAGTGGTGCTCTCAGCCAATACTTCAGGTGGCTTCTCCTGACTGCCCCACTTGTGCAGGGTGTGGGAAGACCAGATGTTCTCTGAGGGCATGGCCTGTGTGGCCAAGACTGTGAAGGCCCCACAGCCCTTTGGAAATGTATGGGAGGTTGGCCACAAGGCCTTGACCAGCTAGGGCCTGCCATGGTTCTGCTGGCCTAAGCTCCAAGAATGGTCATCAAGAGCCTGGAAGGAGTGTCTAGGGCTCCCCCTGGAGTGGACACGGCAGCCTGTAGGGGGTCTCTGTCTGCACCTCTCCATGGTGTAACCCGACAGCCTCTGTGCCCACCCCAGGCTTGGACCTCACTTTGAGGCTGGGTGGGCAAGCCTCTCCCACATCACTTCCCACAGCTGTGTCAATATCTCCTAGGTAAGGAGCTCCCTGCATTCCCATCCCAAACTTGCTTCTGTAGAAAAGAGTTTGCTGAACAACTTCTGGGCTCAAGACCCAGGGGGTTCTTCTGTTTCTGACTTCTTTTACTTAGTGTGATGCCCTCCAGGTTCATCCGTGTTATAGCAAATGGTAGGATTTCCCTCTTTGTTGGCTGGCTAATGTTCCATTGTGTGTGTACATTCACATTGTCCTTATCCATTCCCCTGTTGATGGGAATTCGGGTTGTCTGCACATCTTTGCTATTGTGACATTGCTGCAATGAGGAGTTCAGATATCTCTTCAGGATCCTAAGCTCAATTCGTCTGGGTAACTGCCCAGAAGTGAGATGGCTGAATCATACGACAGTGCTAGTTTTAATTTTTTAAGAAGCCGCCATATTGTTTTCCATAGCAACTACATCATTTTACATTCTTTTCAGGGGTATACAGTGGTTCCAACTTCTCCATCTCCTCACCAGCACTTACCTCTTGTATTTTTGATAATGGTCTCCCAACAGGTGTGGTTTGGATTTGCATTTCCACCATGATTCATGATGTTGAGCATCTTTTTCATACACCTGTTGGTCATTTGTATGTCTTCTTTGGAGAAATGTGTATTCGGGTCCTTTGTCTTTGATTCCATTTGTAGGAGGCCTCTAAAATAGTCAAACTCATAGAAACAGTAGAATGGTGGTGGCCTGGGACTGGGGAAGGGGATGTGTGGAGTTGCTGTTCAGCTGGTATAAGTTTCAATTCCCCAAGATGAGTAAGTTCTGGGGATCTGTTGTACAACACTGTAATGCACACTTAAAATGTGACAAGAGGGTAGATCTCTAGTTAAGGGTTCTTACTACAATTAGAAAAGAAGATACATTGGGTTCCTGTCCTCTGATAACATCCACCCATCCATCCATTCTAATGCCTGTTCTGAGCATGTACTATGTGGGAGGCATTGGTCTTGGCACTGACGCTACAGCCATGGACGTGGGGCTACAGCAAGCTCCTGTGGGGTGGACAGTGTCTGTGCACCTCTGGGCGGTCACATCCTGGGTAGGAGGTGGAGATCAGCAGCACCTAGCTGGGGCCCAGGCAGCTCCACCTGCTCCTTCTTTTCAGCCCCTGACACCCTCCTCTGCTGCTCTTCCTTCAGGCGCAAAGGCTGGCTGATAACAATGGGTATTTATATGGGTATTTACTCTCTCACAGCTCTGAAGGCCAGAAGTCCAAAACCGAGGAGGGTGCAGGGATTGTTCTTTCTGGGGGCTCTGAGGGACAATCCATCTCACTTCTCTCTCCAGCTTCTGGTGGCTGCTGGAAACTTTGGTGTTCCTTGGCTTGTAGATGCATCACTTCAATCTCAGCCTGTGTCTTCACATGGCTTTCTTAGGTCTTCAGGTTTCAAATATTCCTGTGATTTTTCTCTTGTAGGGACACTAGTCACTGAATTTACACCCTTAATCCAGGATGATCTCTTTTTGAGATCCTTAAATTAGTTACATCTGCAAAGACCCTGTTTCCAAATAAGGCTACATTCACAGCTTCCAGGTATTAGGACATAGACATATTTTTTCGGGGACCATGATTCAACCCACTACACCCTCCATCCAGACGTCTAGCCAAGGAGTTAATGAGAACTTAGCTTAGGCCACATGTATGGATCAACAGTGCAGAAATGTCTCCCCATCAGAGTGATCTAAAATTCTGACAATCACAAAATTTTCTTTGCACCAGCATAAGACTTTATCCTGAAACTCCAGATTCAAATTAAAGTGTTAATGAGACATTTATTCATTTGAGGTTTTCTTGTATTTTTGTTTTGTTTTGTTTTGTTTTTTGAGACAGAGTCTCGCTCTGTCACCAGGCTGGAGTGCAGCGGCGCAATCTTGGCTCACTGCAACCTCTGCCTCCTGAGTTCAAGCGATTGTCCTGCCTCAGCCTCCTGAGTAGCTGGAATTACAGGTGCTCACCACTATGCCCAGCTGATTTTTGTGTTTTTAGTAGAGATGGGGTTTCACCCTGTTGGCCAGGGTGGTCTCGATCTCTTGACCATGTGATTTGCCTGCCTCGGCCTCCCAAAGTGCTGGGATTACAGGTCTTTATATATTTTTTTTAACAATCCCAACTGAAAATCCCACATCAGATAGAATAAGACACAACAAAGATATTCAGCTGCTGTCGATGGTCGTGACTTACATAAACCCAAAGTCAATAAACCCCTTTCAGTACTGAAGGTGTTAAGCATGTAGTTTAATTATCTCCAGGATAAGTCTTGGGATAGATGAGGGACAACTCCTTGGTCAACCCAAAAGTGAACAAACACTCCTGCCCCTCCACACCCCTGCCCTCCACACCAGCCCTCTTCCCTCACCAGGTCACTATTAACGTTGAGATTTTCTCTGATCATCACATGCATGTTTAATAGGTGCTTGCTTGGCACAGCAGGGGTGCTCCGTGAACGGTTCTTGGATAAGTGAGCTTATGCCATCCAGGGGCTCTGGTCAAGGCTCAGGCAGCCAGATCCCCCATCCAGGCCCCTGGCTCACTGGCGCTAAGGTGACTCCAGGATCCAGGTGCTCTTGGGGTGGCCGGCCAAAGCAGTCAGGACTTTTGGGGTCACAAGCAATGGAAACCGAAGGGGACGGTGGAACATCTGGCTGGGAAAGGACAGCTCAGGGTCCACCAGCAGGAGCTGCTCACAGAGCCTGTTTGGGGTCTCCCTGGATGTGTGAGTCCCACGGACTCACTCTGCCCACACGGGTCTCACTTAGGACCCGAGGCAGTGGAAAGCGGAGGCTGCTCGGGTTAAGAGGGGCATTTTCACCTGGATCGAATGGTGCCTGCCAGGGCTCTTCCCAGCAGGAAATGGGATGTTGTTGTTGAAGGAGGGAATGGACACGAGTGACAGTCGTGCAGCGATTGTCCACTCATGATGGGTCCACTCATGACGGGTCCACTCATGACGGGTCCACTCACTGATGGGTCCACTCACTGATGGGTCATGCAGCAATTGTCTACTCATGACAGGTCCACTCACGATGCGTCCACTCACTGACAGGTCCACTCACTGACGGGTCCACTCACTGACAGGTCCACTCACTGATGGGTCCACTCACTGATGGGTCATGCAGCAATTGTCTACTCATGACAGGTCCACTCACGATGCGTCCACTCACTGACAGGTCCACTCACTGACGGGTCCACTCACTGACAGGTCCACTCACTGACAGGTCTACTCACTGACGGGTCATGCAGCAATTGTCCACTCGTGACGGGTCCACGATGGGTCATGCAGCAATTGTCCACACACTGACAGGTCCACTCATGACGGGTTCACTCATGACAGGTCCACTCACGACGGGTCCACTCACGACGGGTCCACCCATGACGGGTCCACTCATGACGGATCCACTCATGATGGGTCCACTCACGACGAGTCCACTCATGACGGGTTCACTCACGACGGGTCCATCATGATGGGTCCACTCATGATGGGTTCACTCACTGACGGGTCATGCAGCAATTGTCCACTCACGACGGGTCCACTCATGACGGGTCCACTCACTGACGGGTCATGCAGCAATTGTCCACTCACGATGGGTCCACTCACGACGCGTCCACTCACAGGTCCACTCACTGACGGGTCCACTCATTGACAGGTCATGCAGCAATTCTCCACTCACTGACAGTTCAGATCAATAGATTTGTGCAAAGTTAATTACAACAAGACATGTCATGAACTCACAGGGCATGAGGGCCAAAGCTTAATCACCAGTGGCACACGTGTTGTGGCCCTGAGGGCTACAGGGCATTTCCTCCAGGGTATGGGTGACCAGGGACCTGGTGGCAGCTGCTCAGTGAAGGAGGACGTATCCCCGCGGTGTGCAAACAAATCCTGCCCTCGGCCCTCCACGGTGGGCTGAAGTAAGCTTTCCTGCCTTCTTTCTTTTTAGTCAGATTAATTATCCTCCGTGGAGCAGTAAATCCCACCGCCTTTCAACAGCCAGGAACAGGAGCTGCTAAACAGAATTTACTGCAGGACAGTCTGCTTTCCTCCCAGGCATTTGCATGGGTGCTTCCCACTCAGAAGGCTGGGCAGGAGCTTGTGCAGAGAGAGCTGGAACTCTGGGAAAACACGTTTCATCACCATGGCTGATTTGGAGTGAAAAACACATTAACTAGGAAGCTCGGTCTGCAACTCCATGTGCAAGAAAGTAACTTTGAAATCATCTTCCTATAATGGAAACGCACTTCCGTTTCTTCCTCCTATCTGCGTCCTTGGTGGAGAGGTCATCCCAGCCAGGTCAGGGTCTCCACTCTTTCCCTGGTGTTCTAAGTTCTGCAAGGGTAAAACGAGCATTTCTGAAATACATATGTTTGGCAAATTTGCAGACGTATGAATGTGAGCTGGATCAGAAATCCCACCTCCTACCCTAGCATCCAGGCGTGTGTGGAGCTGGCAGCAGCGAGGGCTGATTCCTCACCTGGCTGGCTCTGTGCATCCTCCCAGCCCTGTCCCCAGCCCTCCCGAGGATGGTGCTGCACACTCCCCGAGACCCTTTACGGGAGCTCATGTTCACCTAATCAGCCAATGTCATCGTTTGTTTTTAAGGTAAGGGCTTTGACACATGTGTGGGGGCCATATGATGCCGTGACGTTGTCTGGGAGGGCACCTGGCCCAGGTGTGGCTGTCCTTGTGGCCTCACTGGGACATCCTCACTCCTGAGTCCCTCAGAGGAGTCTGGCCCGCTCAGGTCTCTGTGGCTTTCTCCTCTTCCCCTTACCTTCCTCTCCCACCTCCTCCTCCTCCTCCCTTCCTCCTCCTTTTTCTCCTCCCTGTCCTCCCCCCCTTCTCCTTCTCCTCCTTGTCCTCCTCCCTATCTCCCTCCTCCCTCCTCCTCTACCTGTCCCCTCTGAGCCACCTGCAGAGTGGTCTGTGGGTGCAGCATGTTCATGATGCCCTTGCATGCATCCCTCATGGGCAGAGGATGGGAGAAGGAGGAGTATGCTGATGGCGGGCAGTGGGGGGCCCAGACTGTGCTGCCACTGAGCCTCCTGGGGTCTCCCCTCCCTGCTGGCTCAGGAGATTTGAGGAAACCTCCTGTGGCAGGCTGACATAGGGACAGTAAATCAGGATCCTTCTGAGTAGGGCCTGGAGATACGAGGTGCAGCTCCCCAAGCCCGGTGCTGGGCCATTCAAGAGCAGAGTCTCCAGGGCTGGCAATTCCCCTCCAGGAAAGGCCAGCAATGCCCACGCAGCAGGATGATATTGTGAAGCTTTGACTGATGTATGTTTGCCTTGGGTGTCTCTTTTATTCCCTGACCCTTCCCCATTGGGGTCCTCACTGTTGAGGCTTTAGCTCCCAAGAGGAAGCCCTTCAGCCAAAATAGAGAACAAAGCAATAAATTACTGCTTTTAGAATGTGTGCGTTTCAAGTACATTCCCCTGCTGCAATGCAGAGACACTTGGAAAACGTTTTCTAAGCCAGTTTTTTTTTCCTAGTCCTAAAATAGGTAGAAATTATTTCTGGGTTGGGGAAGAGAAAAGAATCAGAGAAGAAATAGAGACATTGGGGAGGGTCTGCAAGAAGGAACCCTGCACCAAATGCCATCTCTTAGTCCTGAAATGGAGAATGACGCATGACCCTGAAACACCTGGGGTCTGAAAGCAAAGAGGACTTTGGTTCATTTCCTACGTGGGAACCTGTAAGTGGTGACCTCACAATGGGCCCCACAGCCAGATGATGGTAGACAGAGAAGAGGTGACTGGTGAGGCTTCAGGGCACAGAGACTCAGGAGGGGCTGTTTGGGTTCTTACCTTCCAGTACCTGGGGGAGGGAGTGATGCACCCTGGGCCCCGGAGGACCAGGTCAGGCCGTGGAGGGAGGGATGTGGCAGCAGGGCTGCTCTGGGCTAGAGGAGCTGACACCAGGCACGCTGAGCACTGCACAGCCAGATCCTGAATGGGACAGGCACGGACAGCAGGTGTCGGCATGGGAGGGGATGGCTGAGGATCTTACCCTGGCTACATGAGAACTAGCAACATAGAGGCAACAGAGCAGGGAAGGGAGAAAATCCTTAATGGTCTAAAAAAAAAAAAAACTACCACCCCAAATTGATGCCATTCACCTGGAACTGAGTCTACTCTTTTCTGCCATTAGGCAGTGTGTGGGCTCCCGAGAGAGACTATACTCAGTTATAAAGGAACCAGGCGATTCTGCACATGTGAGTTGATGGCTTGGGAAGAGATGCCCACTGCATTTACAAGAGTGCTTTGGGAGAGACAGTTAAATTCAGTGTAACAAATGTCAAATTTGTTTTAAGGCCAAAGAGAAACAAACATATATTTTTTTCTTAACCAGGAAGTAAGATTGGCGCAGGGCCAACAAGGCTGATCTGAGTCCGATACCACTCTGGATTTAGGGCAGTAGGGGTTAGGGTGAACACTCAGGTGGGCACACTTCAGGGTGGGCTCAACCAAGTTCTGGGTGCAGCTGGGCTGAGGAGGAGATAGCAGAAGCAGTAGACAAATGTAGGAAAGAGGAAGAGAGACAGGGCTGGGCTGGGAGAAGAAGCACTGCATTGAGGACGCCACAGGTGGAGATCTGATTCTTTCCTCACCCTCATGACTTGGGAGCACCACCTCCTTACAGTCCAGGGAGGAGGGAGGAAGGAAGGCTTCACAGCAAAGGAGGAAAAACCAGCAGAGTTTCTTCATTAGACTCATAAAAACTTGCTTAATTCATTCATTTGTGCACCGGTTTCTTCATTGCTTCAGGAGAGTTTTGTCTACTTCATCACTGACACTGTCCAGGTACTGTTGACCAGTGGAGATCAAGGCTAATAAGGGCCCTGCTCTCTTAGAAAACAGACACAAAATGACAAAATGAGTAGCAAAGCAAGATAATTTTAGATAGTGATAATTGCTACAAAACCAACCAAAAAGTGAAAAGATAGAGAAAAACTTGAGGAGGCCATTTCCACAGGGTCAGAGAAGTTCTCACTGAAGCGACTTTTGTGCTGAGAACTCAACGCTGAGAAGGAATCAGACATGTGGATGTATCAAGAAGAACATTCCAGACAGAGGAAAGAGCAAATGCTACATTCCATGAAGAGGGAAAAGATTCACTTATCCTTTAACTCTCAAATAAAGACCTATTAAAAGAAGAGGCATGCCAATTTCCAGGTATAAATACTATTTATCTCAATTTGTATTGTCCAGTGTTTATCTTAATTTTGAATTATATATGCGGATGTCCACCTTCCAACCAAAAATTACAAGACACAGAAAAAAAGCACAAAAGAGTTCATTGTCAAGAGACAAAGCAAGCAACAGAATTAGACAAATATGTCACAGATGTTGGAACTATAAGTCAGGGAATTTAAAATAATGATGATACTATGTTAAGGGATCTAATGCAAAATATGAAAAACATACATTAACAGGACAGGAATTTTACTAAAGAGATGGCAACTGTACTGAATTAAATGTTAATGCAAGAGAAAATAACATAGTGACAGCAGGTGCAGTGGCTCACACCTGTAATCCCAGCACTTTGGGAGGCTGAGACAGGTGGATTACCTGAGGTTGGGAGTTTGAGACCAGCCTGACCAACATGGAGAAATCCTGTCTCTACTAAAAATACAAGATTAGCCAGGCGTGGTGGCGCATGCCTATAATCCCAGCTACTCGGGAGGCTGAGGGAGGAGAATTGCTTGAACCCAGGATGCAGAGGTTGCGGTGAGCTGAGATGGTGCCATTGCACCCCAGCCTGGGCAACAAGAGTGAAACTCCGTCAAAAAAAAAAGGAAAAAGAAAGAAAAGAAAGAAAGAAGGAAGGAAGGAGGGAGGGAGGGAGGGAGGGGGGAGGGAAGGAAGGAAGGAAGGAAGGAAAGAAGGAAGGAAGGAAGGAAGGAAGGAAGGAAGGAAGGAAGGAAGGAAGGAAAACAAAAAAAGAAACCCAGCTCATGCAGAAATGCATTGGAATGTCGGGAAATTGTGTGTATTTAATTTACTTTACCTGTTTCCTAGAGAGCCCAAGTGACTCAGGTGCTTGTTTACATTGGCTGATTGCCTGGACTTTGGAAATGCAATTATCCCCCACCACCCCCTCAGCCACTTTCTCCAGGGGACTAGGAGGGACTGAGTGGTGCAGCCTCTGTGAAATGCTTGGGCCAGGAGAAAGCAATTCCAACGGGGCTGTGAGAGCTGAGCAGGGAAGGTGTGGCTGCGCAGAGCCCATCAGGGCTTGTTACTGGAAGTAGAGGGAACAAATGCCAGGCAGGCAAAACGCCACAGGACCTGCAACCACAGGCCTCTGTGGCTTCAGTAAATGTATCCGCCTCCATTTGGCTGCAGACAGAGGCTGAACGCATGTCTGTGACCAGAAAGGGACCTGCCCCTTGGTGTTCGTGGTGACAGCCCCTCAAAAGCATCTCTGAACTAATCCTACCTGGCCCAGGCGTGGCTGTGGTGAGACATGCGTGGCATGAGGGTGCCCCACGCTGGGACAGTCCCTTTGTTGAATCACAGAAGATGAATTAAGACAACAACATGCCTGGAGCTGCCCTGGGGACACGGAAGAATTAAGGATGAAAATCGTCAGAGCCAGGCTGGAGAAATTAATTTCAGTGTGTGAGCACACGGTCAGGAGGTCTCATTAAAGCTGAATGGAAATTAAATCCTGACATTCCAGGAGGGCAGTAAAGCACCTAATGAGAAAGAGGGGACGCACACAGCCATGCAGCACTAACAGCAGCTGCAGGTAACCAGCTGCAGGGCAGTGTGGCCTGGGTCCTAGACCAGTGGACAGCTCTGCCAGGCAGCTCCTCCTGGCTGACTAAAGTCCCAGCCTTGCCCAGTCTGTGCCACCTGTCCTGACTCATGTCTTACTGCTTAACAACCCTCCCAAAAATGCTGTCACTTCAAACAAAATCAATGATTTATTATTTCTGACAATTCTGTGGTCAGGATAGAGATCCTGGCAAATCCAGGCAGGGCCCAGCCAGGTGGCTGTTCTGCTGTGGAGTTGCCTGGGTTCACTTCCTCAGTTTCATCTTGCTGGTGGCTGGGCTGAGCTGGAAGGTTCTGGAAGGATTTTATGCACCTTACAGCATTGTTTTCAGGATGATTAAAAACAGCCCAGCTAATCCATCATCAAGACCTCAACAGTTACCATGGAGACCACTTTATTACCAAGAGGAGAATTCAGGGAAGCATCTGTCAAATGAGCGAAGGCTGTCAGGCGTTGACTTCTCCTCTGTCTGAGAGATGGCTCTGATCCTCAGGGCTGGGCTGTCTCTTCATGAAGTGGGAGCGGCCGCACCTCAGTGATGGATCAGGATCACCCCACACCTGAACCTGACGCTTTAATTAAACTTCTCAAATCTCCACCCTGTGCCACCCTCTGCCCTTCACTGTCCTTGGGCTCAGCTGGGACGAAGGGAGATTTGAGACACTGAAAAACACAGTGTTTGATTTGCTAATTCCCAAGAAAAGGGAGTGGAGAGAAATTTCTGTTCAGGGCTTTAGGAAATGTGGGTGTTGGCTCCGTCCTAATGCCTGAAACTCACTGTGCCCCTGAGGGAGCAGCAGGTTTCCTCCTGTGAATGACTGAGATCCCTCAACTAAACTCCACCCGGGAAACCTGTGTCCACGTGAGGCAGGCGAGAGAACAACAGCTCAGAGACCCAGCAGAAGCCCCTGCTGACCTTGGGGTGTCCTCTAGCACAGGACAGAGGACACACCTGGAGGACCCCGTGGCACTGCCAGCCCAGACTTAAAACACGGAACTAATCCCCAATAGGTAAAAAGTGGGAGATTTCCATGAACTCATCTGTTCACACATCATTTATCGCCCCCTTGCTCTGAGCTGGGCACTGCCGTGGGTGCTGGGAATAGATACTCGGGAACAAAGACCCGACCTGTGTGCAGAGCCCCTTCGTGGGCCCACGTTCAAGCCAGATCCCTGACTGGATCCAACAGCCTGGGCAGCTGGCACGGGGCTCTCCTTGCTGGAGCATCTGTGGGTGGAGCTGCTGCTTTGGGTGAGGACTGCACCCTCTTGGCGCCACCGTCCCCACCACGCCCTGTCACTCCCACGCTGGGGCTGATGCCACTTGCTGTTTGTCACCACATTGGGTGACGCTTCCTCGAAACGAACCAACAGAGAAAGGGAAGATTTTTTGTCTTGTTTTGTTTTGTTTTATGTTTACCAAAAATAGGAAAAGAGAAGATAGACCATGAGTGTTTCCAGAACCTCTGGACAAACATTTCCGCACCGTTGTGGAAAATTCGCGATTGAAAGTCCAAACTCCGAGAGCCGGTTGGCCTGGGCTCTCCCTCAGCCTCCTCGTCCTGGCTGGAGGATCGAGCAGCTTCCTGTGTCTCAGACCCTCAGGTTCCTCGTCTGTGAGTGGCAATGAGAACAGCACCTGCCACTTCTGGCTCTTTTTTAAAAACAATTTTAATAGAGATGGGGCCTCAATCTGTTGCCCAGGCTGGTCTCACACTCCTGGGCTCAAGCGATCCACCCACCTCGGCCTCCCAAAGTGCTGGGATTACAGGGGTGAGTCACCGCATCCGGCCCCTTTTCTGGCTCTTACGAGGGTTGGGTGAGCCCGTACACCTGAAGAACATAGATTGTTAAGTTTCCTCCTCATCATCATCACTTTAATATGCAAATAAAACCCCACACTGCCTGCAGGTCACTTCCTGGCCCCTGGTGGTGGTTGATTTTTCAACCCCTGTGGGTTGGCGTCGGGCTCAGAGCTTTGGGCAGACGAAGCCTTAGCTTGTTGTGAATAACATTATTTTGTCTTCATTTCACGTTCAAACCACCTTCTGTTTATGGTAAGTGAGAATGATTTTCTGCCATGGTAGTGAAACGATGTTTCATCTTTAGAGGAATTTAGTGAAGTGAAAACGAGATGATTTAAAAAAAACACGGAATAAGTAATATGTATGGAACATGGAAGGTGGGAAGTGAAGACTGGAGTTTGGGAAGCCAAGAACGAGTCCAATTTCCCCATTTTACAAGTGGGGAAACTGAGGCCCGGAGAAGGGACAGAACTCACCCAGGGCCACAGTACGAGGCTAAGGCAGAGGCAAGACCAGACTCCGTGTGTGGCCTGTCACTCTGATGGCTCACCCACCAGGGACAGGAGGAGGAGGAGAAGGGCAAGGAGGAGGAGGAAGAGAATGAGGAGGAGGAAGAGAAGGAGTTGGGGAGGAAGGGGGGAGGACGAGGAGGAGAGGAGGAGAAGGAACTGGAGAAAGAAGAGGAAAAGGAAGAGAAGGGAAGTAGAGGCAAGAGGAGAAAAGGAGCAGGAGGTATCTGTGGACTCTCAGTGCCCAGTTTCGTCCTCTGTGGGGAAGGCCCGTGGGAGCCTGTCACGGCTCATTGGTCTCTGCACCGCCTGGCGGCTTTCACACAGTGGCAGGTTTCAGTAGCTGTGGGAGAGCCCCCATGGCCCTCGAGATGAAGGTATTTACCATCTGGATCTTTACAGAAGACGTTTTCTGGCCCAGTTCTACCCTGTGGTCCCCCGCAGCGCCCCCTGTGTCTCCTGTGTCCCCTCCCCCGTGTCCTGGCATCCCCTGTGTCCTCTCCCCTGTGTCCCAGCATCCCTGGTGTCCCCTGTGTCCTCTCCCCTGTGTCCCAGCATCCCCGGTGTCCCCTGTGTCCTGGCATCCCGTGTCCTCTTCCCTGGTGTCCCATGCATCCTCTCCCCGGTGTCCTGGTGTCCCCTGTGTCCTCTCCCCGGTGTCCCTGACGTTTCCTGTGTCCTCTCCCCAGTGTCCTGGCATCCCCTGTGTCCCATGAATCCTCTCCCCTGTGTCCCCGGCATTCCTTGCGTCCTCTCCCCTGTGTCCCATGAATCCTCTCCCCTGTGTCCCCGGCATTCCTTGCGTCCTCTCCCCTGTGTCCCAGTGTCCCCTGTGTCCTCTCCCCTGTGTCCTCTCCCCTGTGGCCCCAGTGTCCCCTGTGTCCTTGCTCCTGGACACCAGCCACCAGGGAAAGGCCACACCAGAGCCAACTTTCCCTGTCACAGATCAGTTGACTGGGCTTTTGTGGGTCTATTCCTGGGCTCCCTGTTTCGTCCCAGTGATCCATTTATCTGTTCTTTCATTGATACTGTTACTGGAATGAATGCTTATGGAACATAATTGAATTTCTACCCTGCGCTAACTCTGCTTATCTTTAGGAAACAGGACTCCCGGGATAAAAAGTTTCCTTTGTAACCAGACCAGCTCAGACTGGTTCAAACCAAGATAGCCGACCAAACAGCTTCAAAAAGACCTTCAGCCTCATTATCATCTCATTTCCATGCTCAGTGACACTCCCACCAGTGCCATGACAGTTGGAAATCGCCATGACAATGACTGGACAAAGCCATAAAAAGACAAAAAGGAAAGTCGCACTCCAGTTCTTGGAAGCTCGCTGCCCGCTCCCGGAAAAGACATGAATATTCTTCCCCTTGCTTGGCGTGTCCAACCCTTTCATGAGAGAGTCCTCGTGTGTCAGCCTCCCCACCCCTCCCAGGCTGAGTGGATTTGTGAGCCGTGCTCCCGCTTCTCAATTCCAAGGCCATGGAATAAAGCCTGCACTGCGGGGTACTCACTTTCAGCTTCACGTATTGGCTTCGTGACACCCAACAGGGAAAGCCCCTCTCTTTGGGGGGAATGACTGTGTCGGAGACAAAACCACGCTGTCTTGATTACTGTGGTATTATGGCAGGGCTTGAAGTCAGGTATGTGGGTTCTCCAACTCTGTTCTTTCTTCTTCCTCACGGTGTTGGCTGTCCGAGGACTTTTGCCTCTCCATATGAACTTTAGACTCAGCTGGCATAACCTGCAGAATGGCTGGGATTGCAGTGAGTCACCCCTTGGCTCTAATAGCCAAAATTCATAAAATGTGCGAACTCTCTTTGAAAAGATGGCCAATGATTACACAAGAGAGAATCCAATTCCCATTAACAAATCTTAATATAATACATCCAACAAAACTATGTCTAGAAACTAAGTGACATCACACATATGCTTGTCATAATCACGTGTGTTGAAAACCGTGTTGAAAAGTGCGCCAGATGCCAGTAGGGGCCAAGGGACGCTAACGCATGCTGCGCTGGTGGTGGGGGGGGGGTGCTCCATTGCAAACAGGTGACAGTTGGCTGACAATCTTGATCATTTATTTGCTGATCAAAAAGGGATCCTGCCAGTACTGTGCACCCTAACACAATATTTGGACCTTCATAGGTGTATTAGTCGGTTCTCATGCTGCTAATAAAGACATACCCAAGACTGGGTAATTCATAAACGAAAGAGGTTTAATGGACTCACAGTTCCACATGGCTGCGGAGGCCTCACAATCATGGTGAATGGCAAAAGAGGTGCAAAGCCGCATCTTACATGGCAGCAGGCAAGAGGCCCTGTGCAGAGGAACTCCCATTTACAATCCGTCAGATCTCATGAGACTTACTCACTATCACAAGAACAGCACGGGAAAAACCCAGCCCCACCATTCAATTACCTCCCGCCAGGTCCCTCCCAAAACACATGGGAATTATGGGAGCTACAATTCAAGATGAGCTTTGGGTGGCGACTCAGCCAAACCATATCGATATGTAAGCATTTTACTGGGCTTTGGCTGTACTGAAGGATTGATTGGAGATTTTAAGATCATACATTATAATTTTTCCCATTTAAAATAATGCAAAATGTGTTCTTAGTTGGTGCGTCCAAGCACAGATTCTGAAATTTTGCCACAGGATTCCAACGTTAAGAGAAAGCTCCGTGACACTTCGTGGCTCTGATGGGTCAGACCTGGACTCGGGGAATGGAGGGGCAGGGTTCGTTCCTCCTAAACCGCGGGGACTGAGGTGGGGCCCAACTGATTACCCAAAAGAACACTGGGGTTCATTTAGCAACAGAATGGGAAATGGATACTGAAAAGCAAAATAACACATTTTACAAAAATGTTTTCTGTCCAAGAGTTAAATATGTGACACATCAATGTGCTCAATGTCCTTACATATTATACATGAGACATCTGTGCACAGATAGGAAGGCAGGACAGGTCTGAGCACCTCCCGCCACCCGTCCCCTCTGGGCTCAGGAGAGCTGCTCATGGCTGCAGCCAACTTGGCCTCCCTGCCCTCACCTGCTCCCCCTGCTGCCTCCAGAGACCTGGGCTTTCTCCCCGTCCACCAGGTTCCTCTCCTCGGGCTGCCTCTCCCAGGCCATAAACATGCCCGGGGCACATCAGTGTTGAAAAGAGCTGTTTCTCTGCTGTCCTCAACCCCAAGCTATAGGCTACACCTTGTTTCCCACCCACGGAGAATCTTCTAGGGAAATTAGTGCACAGGATAAGCTTTTAACAGATTATCACAAGTGTTTTCATCCTATTGTTTCCTGTGACCATGTGGCCCGCCCATCCGGGATGGTCTGCATCTGGGGAAAGACGGGGAAGCCGGGAGGGCAGGCCCAGTGGGGGCCTCCCCACCCACAGGTTCCTCCTCCTCCTGATGGAGAAGCCTCATCTGCTGCGAGGGGTAGGGGGTGGGGGGTCATACTTAGAGCAGCAATCATTCCTGTTTATCTGAAATTCAAATCTGCCTGGCTTCAGGTACATTTATTTACTAACCTGCTCCACCTGGAATGATTTGGGACTGCACTTCCCATCTCCCTGGGAAGGATCAGCGGTGTTTGGACAGGCACTTTGCACCCTGGGTGCCTGTGAGGCGGGTTCCCCTTCAAGAAGAGGCCTAACCAGTGCTCCTGGTCCCTGGGTGGGGTCTCCTCACAGCCTGGCGTCTGGGTGGTCCGTGCAGTCTGCAGGGCAGGCTGCTCTCTGTCCCTCCAGTAAGGACGGCCGCGGCAGGGGCGCTGCAGGGAGGCCAGGTGCTACCAGGTAGAGGCCAGAGCTGGGTCGCTCAGTTCCCTCTGCTCTTGTCCTCAGACCCCAATGCCAGCTCTAGAAAGAGGGACCCTTTTGCCTTGGCCTCTCCTGTGGCACAGGCCTCCCTCCCCACCCCACCACGGCAGTGGTGGCAGGTGCTCCAGGGACACCTGCTTCCCTCACAGTCTCACCCTGAGGACACTGATTTGCCTTCTTGCCCACAGGTCCAGAAAAGTCTGGATTTGATCCTGGCACTGAGGGTCTCTGTGAGCTTAGACTCCTCTCCCCACAGGGGGAAGGGCAGGGCCGGTGCGTCTCACGGCCGCGGCAGGCTGATGGGGCTGTCACACAGCTTTCTGGCCCTGAGCTGAGGGCTTAATGCTATCATATCACTTAATACCCCCAGGGACCTGGGTGAGGGACAGCTCCATTCCCATTTGACAGAGAGGAGGCTGGGGTGTACTGAGAAGTAATCACAGCTGTGTTGGTAACATTTAACAGCCAGCTCTCCAGAAACACAAAGCACCCTGATTTGTGGAGATTGCCAGGTTCCCTGGTGCAAATGTCCCCGGCATATCCAATTTCAAGTGCGAGCAGTTTAACAACTGGCTTGTAAAACCCCTGAAAATGTGAGAGTCGGCTCCCACATGCTGCTGTGGGACAGCTGCAGCTCCCTGATAACCTTCTAGGACCTGCCTCAGTTGGGGAGGAGAGGAATCCCGATCTCGGGGGCCTGGACACCCGGGGGGGCTCCACTCAGAGCTTCTGGCCCTCACCATTCCAGGACCCCTCTTGGGCTTCTGTGTTCTCTCTCCAGGGCTGGCTCCTGACACTCCTCTTTGGACAACTGTCCTTAGGCCACTGAGCCCGACTGGCCCCATCGCAGTGAGCTGGAGCGGCCTGGGGGCCGGCCTTGCTGAAGCCGCCTCCTCCCAGCTTGTGGGAGATGATTTCAGTGTTCACAGTTTTCAGGAATTATGTAAACCAGGTATGACACGGGCTTAACATCAGTCACGGTGAAATTATTCACACCCCAGGAACCTGGCAGGGGCTCTGCTTCTGCCCCCGGGAGCAAGTTGTTCCACACTCAGCAGCTCACCCTGTCTCATCCTCCCCACCCAGCGAGGCCTTGACCAGTGACGGGGTGTGGAAGCCTCCAACAGGGCGGCTGAGGCAGGTTCATGCTCCAGGGCGCCCCTGCAGGACCACAAGGAAGTCACTGTGGTCAGGAGACCTGGTGCTGACGGCTTTGCTTGTCCTGACCCCGTCCCTGTCCCGGCTCCCAGGCCCTCCCTTTACGCGTCACCTGTTCCCGAGTCCTCATCCCAGCACCTACTTCCGGGGACCAGGCCTGTAGGCTCCAAAGCTCTGCTCTTTTTTTTTTTTTTAGACAGAGTCTCACTCTGTCACCCAGGCTGGAGTGCGGTGGTGTGATCTCAGCTCCCTGCACCTTCCACCTCCTGGGTTCAAGTGATTCTCCTGCCTCAGCCCCCTGAGGAGCTGGGATTACAGGCACGCGCCACCATGCCTGGCTAATTTTTGTATTTTTAGTAGAGATGGAGTTTCACCATGTGTTGTTCAGGCTGGTCTTGAACTCCTGACCTCGTGATCTGCCCTCCTCGGCCTCCCAAAGTGCTGGGATTACAGGTGTGAGCCACCGCACCCGGCCCCAGAGCTCTGCTCTTAACCAGCACCGCAGCTGAAGGAAAAGCAGGAGGCATTTGGCTGTTGATGATGATGACGTTTTCATTATTCTGTGTGGTTTGGGTTTATTTTCCCCAAGGAGCACAGTGCACAGAAAATAGAACATTTCAGGAACACCAACCAAGCTAAGTAATATGTTCACATGATATTTATGAAAACGATGATGAAACCGGTTCCACAAACAGTTGATAGAAGATGGGCTGTGTAAAACTGGTACTGGGAAAATGGGTTATCTGTGTGGAGGAAAGTAAGACTGAATCTCTAACCAATACTGCAAACAAAGGTGGAGTCTAGATGGATTAAAAGCCTGAATATGAAAAGAGAGAAAACAGGAAAACATATAGAGTCTTTGGGAGCCTGTGCCTGGGAATATTTTTAAAAACACATTTGGAAAGCATAAACCATAGAAAAATAGTTAGTTTTGTCACATCAGAACAAAGGATGCCTGCTTAATGAAGAAGACCATGAACAAAATTATTAGATACCTGGCAAAATGGGAAAAGAGATTTGCAAAGTTTAAAACTGGAAAGTGACCAATGTGTCAAATATACAATGTAACTTTATTAATCAACAAGGAAACCAGGAGAAATCCCAAAGAATGGACAGAGTGATGGGAGCAGCCAACACCCAGGAGAGGAAATCCCAACAGGCCAAGATGCCACACCCAGGCTGTCTCCTTTCACTCCTGGCGGTGATTAGGAAGCTGGCGCTGCCCAGCCTGGGCAGGGAGGCAGGGACGCAGGGACGTCCTGCAGGTGGGGGTGGACGGAGGGCCCTGGACCCAGTGGTCCCACCTCACGTAGACACCCAGGGAGGGGCTGACCCAGGCCCACAGATGACCTCTGAGCCTGTCTGTGGGGTCCGGGAGGGGCACAGGACCTGGGTGGGTGTCCCTGGGAGAACAGAGAGGAAAACGAGCTGGACGCACACGGAGAAACATGCAGTAACGAGACAGAATGAGCTGGTGCACACGGAGTGATATGAGAGAATCTTTAAAACACGATTATTTGTAAAAGTTTAAAAATACACAGAATGAAATTAATCACATGAGACCATCGATGTTCGTGCCCAGAAACAGCAACGGACACTCTCCAAGAACACGTCCCAATAAAAAGATCGCCATTAAACACGGCTCAGTGATTTCCTAAGGGCAGGGAGGGGAATGGGAGGAGGAATGGGAAGGAACGAAAATGCATCATAAAGCCTGAAGCCTGAAGGAATCCACGCGCAGACAGATGATATGTGACGTGTCACGCACTGCGCAGTGGGGTTCGTTCAGCCCTGACTCTTGAGGGCCAGTTATGAGAAGGAGGAAAAGATGGACACAGTGAGGTAGGGCTGTGAGGCCCGTGGAGACCTCCCAGGCTGGGCGTCAGGATGTGTGTGTCCTCCCTCCCGTTACAGGACAGTGTGACTCCACCCCCTGCCTGGCCCCGCCCCTCCAGCCTGGCCCCGCCCATGCCTGACCCAGCCCCCTCCAATCTGGCCCCACCCCTAGGGCCTGACCACACGTCTCCACCTTGGCCCCGCCCCTGGGGTTTGACCTTGCCCCTCCATCCTGGCTTCCCCCAATGCTTGACACTGCTCCATGGTTAGACTATGCCCTTCATCCTGGACCCACCCTCTGTCTGGCTCCTCCCCTCATCCTGGCCCCACCCCTATCTCCACACCCATGGCTTGGCTACTCCTGTCCCTCCTATCTTTACTCCCTCTTTCTAGCCATTTCCTTCTCTGATCCCTCACCTCTACTCTGGCCCTGCCCTTACGGTTTAACCGCACCTCTCCACCCTGACTAGCCCCTGTGGCTTGACCCCGCCCCTCCGTCCTGGCCCCACCCCCATGACTTGACCACACCTCTCGTTCCTGGGATCGACCCCGCCCCTCCACCCTGACCCTCCCCTACAGCTTGACCACGACCCCACCGTGGCCCCGCCCCTGTGGTTTGACCCCGCCCCTCCGTCCTGGCCCCACCCCCCATGACTTGACCACACCTCTCGTTCCTGGAGATCGACCCCGCCCCTCCACCCTGACCCCTCCCCTACAGCTTGACCACGACCCCACCGTGGCCCCACCCCTGTGGTTTGACCCCGCCCCTCCGTCCTGGCCCCACCCCCCATGACTTGACCACACCTCTCGTTCCTGGAGATCGACCCCGCCCCTCCACCCTGACCCCTCCCCTACAGCTTGACCACGACCCCACCGTGGCCCCACCCCTGTGGTTTGACCCCGCCCCTCCATCCTGGCTTTCCCCAGTGCTTGACACGGCTCCATGGTTAGACCATGCCCTTCATCCTGGACCCACCCTTCTGTCTGGCACCTCCCCTCATCCTGGCCCCACCCCCATCTCCACACCTATGGCTTGGCCACCCATCCTGTCCCTACCCCCTATTTCTAGCCATTTCCTTCTCTGA